TTCTTGGCCATGTCAGAAACATCTGTGGCATGAATGAAACGACAGACATCAAATGTCACATACACCGTGTAGTCGTGTAGCTTGGCCCAACAACATCCTTACAACCGCTTGCCTCATTATGCTAACACTCTGTCTGCGTTCTCACAGTATTCAGGTGTACTTATGGTGCTTTTATTTAAAGTTGGTGTTTCCATCTTTTTTTAATATGTGACTTGTTGGAGCTGCGTATCAAAGAGCCTGTTTATGATATCAGAAAGGCTTTGGGACGATTATCCAGGGCCTCCAAGGAGCTCAAATGATAAACAATGATGCCAGAGGTGGGCGTGTGGGGTGTCCTGCAACACACATCCCCATTCACATAAAAAAAAAAAACTCCACTCCACATGGTCTGTATCATGATGAGCTCACCAGAGACGAGTCATGACTTCATCGCCTCCAAATTAAACATAACAATTCATCATCTTTGCACATTGTTCCAAACTGTGTCCATATAGAGCAGCAGCTGGTTCCCTAGGACCGTGCACAGAAATCAGGACATCATGGTTCCTATGAAACATTTATTGGTCTTTATGAGCATACACATGTCATGCATATTTATTACGTAGAAAAAGTTTCATAAACAAAAGAAAATATCAGATAACTTCAAAACGACACATTCAAAAACGCCCTGCAAGGCACAAAAAACTCAACACCATAGTTTCTTTTTATATTGAAATAAAACAAACCGTGTTAAAACCAGGACAGGCTCTTAAATCAAAGCTGCTGTATAACGTATAGTTTACATACAAATACAAAATACATACGAAATACACAATCAGAGAAACACATGAGGTAGTCAAACGGCAAAGAAATAAGGACAAAATGATACAATCAATAGTTTGATTGATGTATTTTTGCTCCAATTACAGCTGTTTGGATTTACTGTATGACGTTTATTTGACTTATTTTAGACTCATTCATGTGATGTGGTTTAAAATGATATTAAAAACGTGAAGTAATATATTTACAACCAGTCAAACAGGCAGAACATTTTCCCTGCAAGCACTCGCTCAAACGGCAGGAATTCATAAAAATTTACAAAACTTTTCTTTAAAAAAAAGATAAGAAAACCACAATTACACTAATTTATAATATAATAAAACAATGTTGTGTATTTCATGAACAGAAGCTTTGTTTTAAAGCCTGTATGTATTATTTAAAATTCACAATAAACTCACAGCCTGTTTTAATAAAATGAATAAAATTAGGTGAAATCCAAAAAAATTTCATTTAGCAAACAAATCGTTTTGCTTTTGACAGTTTTAGAGTAATTTGATGCAACAAGTTTTACATTTATCAAGCGTTATCAAACATGACGTGAGTTTTATGAATGTTTTGTTTCCCAAAAAGACTTATAACGTAAAAAAACATAAAAAAAATAAAATCTCGATTCACAGTACTTACACACACAGGTGATATAATTCTCTTGTGGATACTTACTAAAATATAATTTTATACACAAATATATTTCTTTATATTCTCTGTAGAAAGCTTTATACAAGTTTACATAAAAAGGGATATTCCAGAACTTTGAGATAATAAACATTGCCTTTTTTTTGCTACTTTTTGTTTAGAAGGTGGATAAATGGGAAAACGTATTTTCCTCATCTAAATTGTCCAACCTACACACACCAACACACACACAGCAAACGTTTGTAATCTTCTAAAACAGTGGGTTAATCGTGGGGTTTGTTAAAAAACAATGAGCTTGATCAACAACGTGCCAGGATTTACAGAGAACCAAACAGGAAGTGGAATTCAAATACTGTAATACACATGTCTTATTATTCTGTTAAATAAAGGGAACAAACAGAGTTTTATATTCTCTTATGACTCCTTTCATATCATGAGCATCTCAAATATGGCACAGTTTAGTTTAAAGTCTGGTGGCGCTCAGCTAACACAAAGTACACCATGCTAACGATAATATTCTTTAAATTTGGGTCGTTGGACGTTCTGTCAATTCTCTAGATTAGTTTGAAACAGAACTGATGAAGGTTAATCCTGTCAAATGCAGGAAGCAGGAAAACGTGGATTAGCACACACAAACTCTGAAACCTTTTCATGTATTTACAATATTCACATAAATGTACACACCTTTAACACACAAGCCAACCTTTTTAGAAAATACTTTTTTTTTTTTACTCTAAAGAATATTTGAGACCACTCTTATATCTGTGCAGTGACAATGGTGCATCAAGAACATACAGCTAAGAGGAATAACCAAATTAAAAAAGTAAAAAACTGTTGATTAGTCAAAATTTATATTTTGAATCCTTTTGAGTAGGTTTGGGCAAAGCACTTAAGAAGCCACATGTCCTTGTGCAAACTGTTGTACATTTACAATGTTGAACTCAAATGTTGCATTCTTAGTGTACGCACGGATTATTGTTGTTACAGACATTCTTGTAGTTGAGTTATATTTGGGGCAGCATGGTGGCGCAACTGGTAGAGCTGCTGCCTCTCAGCGAGCAGGTCCTTGGTTCAAACCCCGGTCCAGGGGCCTTTCTGGGTGGAGTTTGCATGTTCTCTCCATGCATGAGTGGGTTTTCTCCGGGCGCTCCGGTTTCCTCCCACAGACCAAAAACATGCATGTTAGGCTGATTGGTAACTCTAAATTGTCCCTAGGTGTGTGTGAGAGAGTGAATGGTTGTTTGTCTCTATGTGGCCCTGTGATGGACTTGCGACCCGTCCAGGGTGTACCCCGCCCCTCGCACAGTGATTGCTGGATATGGGCACCGGCGACCCCCGTGACCCAAAAATGGAATAAACGGGTAAAGATAATGGATGGATGGATGGAGTTATATTTGTATTTCGTGTATGTCATTCATCAGAATATTGTGCACAAGTAAAATAATAATCATTAATTAAAATTTATTTTAAAATTTTGATGGTTGTAGCTGACTGTTAACGACAACTAAAATAATTTGCTTCTAAAATAATTCTTCTAAATAAAATGAGTAAATAAACAATGCATTTGAGTTACCTTATAACTGCTTTGGGCTCGTTAGACTCTTATCACGTAATTAGATATACTAACATAGTTTGAGATTCAAAACTTAAATCAATCTGTGCAGTCGGTTTCCCCAAATCATCCCAGTTAGTTAACTTAACTTTTCAGGTTATGTTTGAACATAAGGGTGTCCATACGTGCACTTGGCACCAGGACACCCTAGGTCGTAGATCAATGATTGACTTTTTAGCTGAGCTGTCAACTGATCACCACCTGGTAGTGAGTTGGATCAGATGATGCCGGACAGACCCAAACATGTAGTGAGGGTCTGCTGGAAACAACTGGCAGAAGAACTGAGTGGATGGAGAAAAGTTTCAGGAGTGATTTGCGACAAAAGGCTGACAGAAAAGGTCAAACGAAAAGTTTACAGAACAGTGGTGAGACCAGCCATGTTGTGTGGTCTAAAGACAGAGACATGGACAGAAAGACAGGAGAAAGAACTGGAAGGTTGAAGAAATGGAAGGCAAAGTTAGAGAGGCCAGACTGAGATGGTTTGGACATGTCCAGAGGAGGGACAGTGGTTTGGACATGTCCAGAGGTGTGACAGTGGGTATATTGGTAGAAAGATGTTAGAAATGCAGCTGTCAGGAAAAAGACAAAGAGGAGATATATGGATGCAGTTAGAGACATGGAGGTAGTTGGAGTGAGGACAGACAGTGGCATGCTGCTGTTGGGAGTATGGTTTTTGTACTACTAGTGCTTAGCGTATTTTAACATATTTCTTAGTTCATATCTTAGATCTTATTACTGTTTTTCTTTTACATTTTATACTTTTGTTGGATGTAACTGGGACCCTGTGTACACAATTTCATTCCACCACATTTCACATGTGGTGTGAATGACAAATAAAGAAACTCTGACTTTTTTGACTTTGAGACAAGCAGAGGAGTTTGTGACAAAATATACATTATATTTATGTACTGTATGTGTATACAGTATGTATGTATTTATTTATTATTGTAACTGTCTCTGGATGTGATAGTGAATTGTTGTTTGTCTCATTTGTCTCCATGTGTCCCTGTGATGACTGGAGGCCTGTTCAGGGTGTCCCCCACCTCTCACACAGTGACTGCTGGATATGGGCACCAGTGATCCCCTTGACCCGAAAAGGAAGAAGTGGGTAAAAACAATGGATGGATGGATGGATGGATGGATCATCATGTATTTGAAACAGTTGTTCCCTCCAAAGCTAAAGTATTCACAGAGTGGATCCTGCTCAGTGTGTAACACACAGAGATAAGAGTGGTATCAAACTTGGAGTATAAATACTAAATGAGTACTTTTACCTTAATGCTGAATAGCAACTAAAAAAGAACCCAGAAGGACAAAAACAAATCTAGATTTACTCAAATGTATTATACCAGCTATGAACACTTAAATCTTTTATAAAAAGATAATATTCAAATGACTTTAAAATATTGGTTTCTCTGTATCATATTTTCTTTCACATTTTGGGGGTCTTTGCTCTTCTCTTCTACATTCAACCCTTCCTCTGTTTTATAACCTTTAGTGTGTCTTTGTCACCATGATGACTTGCGTACATACTGCACATTCGTCCGCATTTCAATAGTGGTTGTTCTGCTCCTTTGTGTTTGTGGTGAAGTCTTGTGTTACGGTCCAGCCATGAACATTTCACTTCCTTCACCTCTGCAGGCTCCATGCGTTTGTTCGCTCCTAGACTACACCTGCTTGGTACAACTTAAATCAAACCATTTAAGGCCAAAACAAAAGATGTGATGGGATCAGAAATGCAGCATTTGAATAAATCAAATCCTGATATATACATTTATCTAAATCTTGTGATTTGTTAATGAGACGAGGCAGCCAACCTCAGCGTTACAGCATCACCTCCATCAGCTGGTGTTTTATCTGAATCATGCTTCCAGAGAAAGACAAACCCATCAGCAGGAACAGCCGGGTTCTTCCTGTGCAGCAGCAGTGTAGTGGGCTATGCCGTGCTGCTGCTGGAGCACGGTGTGCTCTGCGTGCTGCCGATGCTGGGAGCTGCACTGCTGTGTTCTGACACAGGCTGAGACTTCTGGACCGGCTGTGTACCTGCTGTCCCACCTGGACAAACAGCAGGGAAGAGGGAGGGGGCACAGGGGGAAGAAAATTGGACCAAAGACAGGACGAGAAAATGAACTGAATTTAGACTTAGGATGGAACAGGACAATGATTTTGTAAAAACAACTAATTTTTCTAGTCCAGACAGGAGCCCTCAGCGTTTATCTTAACCCAAATGTGCAATTTTCATCTTAAGCTTGCAGATAAAGCATCATTCTTGAATTTCCTGAGCTGCCCTGTGAAATTAGCATTTATATCCCTGAACACAAAGCACTGATGTGCAAAACAACACAAAGATCATGGGTGTCCCTGAGCAAGACACCTAATGTCTAACTGCTCCCTGGGTGCTTACATAGCTGCCAAGTCTCCACCTGGGTGTACCTCAAGTGTGATGGGTTAAATGCAGAGAACTAGTTTCATCATTGTATGGGAACATACAGTGATGACAACACATAGCACTTTACTGGTATGTTTGTTGAATTACTAAAGCAAAAATGATCAGAACAAAAGCGAAAATAAGCAAAACAGAAGAATAAAGCCAAAATCAGCAAAACAGTAGCTAAATGCTAAAATTAGCACCAAAAAATAGCTAAAGTTCAACACGATGCATGAATGCAGAAGTACTGTAATTTCCGATCTATAAGCCGCTACTTTTTTCACAGGCTTTGAACAACACGTCTTATATAATGCTGCGGCTAATTTATGGATTTTTCTTTTTTTTGACAGGCTAACAAGCTTCATGTCACCAAAACATTTAGCCTCGTCACACACGGGTGGTCACATAGCTGCCCAATACATGTCTCTCTTGGGGTTGGGGGGGGGGGGGGATCCTCGTGACTCAATGAGACTACCTGTATAAATAAAGGTTAAAAAATCTGATGAATGAAATTACCAAATTGGTCACAGTGGACCAATGAAACCAAGTTCCATTGGTCCAGAGGGTTGTTTCCCCTCCTCCCCTCCTTGCTGTGCTTCCAGGGAGGGAAGCGGTGTACACAAGAGATTTAGAATAGCGATCAATGACTTCCTGGTAGGCTACTGTTATTTTATTAACGAGTTGTTTTACAGGCACTGTTCAGAAAAAAAAAAAAACTTTACGTATTTGTGTATGTTACCGGTACATATTGTAGCATTCTGCTGTGGTTGACTGCTGGTCACATGGCCTCAGGAGGGATTATGGGTAAAATTTATGTTAATTGTTAATCATTTCAGTTAGCTGTTTAGCGTTGTTCTTTTCGTGATTAGTCTTTTTTTGTTAGCCTAGTTTATGTGTTTATTATGTGTTAGTTTGTGTTTGGTCATTCAGCAGAGTAACCATGAGTGAGGGAGGTAGTTGTCATGAAAACCTGTGGGGTTCACTCTGTCTGTGTTGAACAGTAAGTTAAAGTCTATAAAACATCATCTGGTGGTTGATTCTTCATCTACAACAAGAGCTGCACATCTCTGTCAGTAGCTGTGTGCTGCCACACTACAGTATTTTATTAAAAGTCAAAAAAACTTTCTGTTCAGATAACTCATGTTACAATGTGGACACCTGCAGCTTATAGACAAGTTTGGCTTATATACAGTATGTACTTTTTTATTGCTTTTGTTTTGAATTTAGTGGACGTGGCTTACATTCAGGTGCGCTCAATAGTCTGGAAATTATGGTAGATTTCAGAGCCAAATTGAGAAGAAACACAAAATCATCTATTTTAATTAGAAACAAGTAAATGCATCTAAAAATATAAAAGCTACAAAAGACAAAGTTCATCGAGATAATTTTCTCAATGAGCTGAACATTTTGATATATGAACAGTTAAAATGTTGACTCAACATAAACACTGTCAGTGTCAGATTGTTTTCAGCCCCTGGGTCATTAAAGACGTGGCCTCAAAGAGGACACAAATAGGTTGCATCTTATGTGACAGATGATATTTGGAAAGAAAAAGAGACATTTCTCAGTTCACTGAACTCTGCATCCTCTGTTATCTGGAATCAATTAGCTTATCTTCAGCTGATAAAGCAGAACAGACGATGTGGGACACTCTCAAAGCATCTCTTGCCATAAACTTTCTTCATTCAAAGTTTGAGTAAAGGACAAAAAGGAGTGATATGTCTGTTTAGTGTCTCTTACAGACACTAAAACAGTTTTGAAATAAAGTTACATCTGTATTCAATTTGTGTTTTTGGCACAATTATTGCTGTAGTCGGCTCTGAAACATCTTTCCCAACAAATCAGAGGAGAGAACAGTTTTCTCTTATATCAAAGATGTTTTGAAATTATACTGTTTAAGCTTGGATCTGTGTTTTCCATCAAGTGCTTTCTTTTATGGCAGATGTACAGTATGTATTTATAAGTGATCATCTCTGCTCCCTTTAGGCCCCACAGCTAATGTTTAGCAGAACTGGGCAGCCGTTAATCACTCTCTTTCAGGTCTCCAACAGGGAACCCATCTCCATCTTCTACTGCTTATCCATCCAACCACCATGGTTGCAGAGGCAACAGGTCCAGGCATCCCTCTCTCCAATGACACGTTCCAGCTCATTGTGGGGGACTTAACCCTGCATAACCCTGAGGTGTTCCCAGGCCAGAGAAGATACACAATCGCTCCAGCAATTTTTGAGTCTTCCCTGTGGCCTCCTACTAGTGGGACATGCCCAGAAAACCTCTAAAGGGAGGGTAGGTGCTGTGCCAAAAATCGATGGGCTGCCAAATGGTGGCTGCGGGAGTGTGCATAGGAGGAATTTAACAAGAATTTAACAAGATTAACACTTAAAAACAATTATTTGTTTGCTCAAAATTATAGAAAAGGTGTGTCTCAGTCTAACGTTTGCTTAATAAATGCACTTTGATGGTCAAATCAGCTGCATTTCAAAAGCCGATTGTTGGATTTAATATTTTATACCTTTTTATAATTCCTATCAAGCACTCAAATGTCATGTCATATAAAGTGTGTGTGTGTCTTTCTTCCAAGGTTGAACTATGTTTATAGAAAATGTTTGCTAATTCTAACTAGTTGACCTTTAAATATAATCTCATAGGAGCTAAAGATAATTTTACAAGTTCACATTTGATAAATTACAAGCAATCAAATCAGGCCAGAGAGCAGACTGAGTAACATAAATAAAGTAGAACACAGCTCTTTAATTTAGACAATATAGTTTGACTAAGCAAAATCAAATTAAGAGTATAACCATGATCCAAATAAAAACACGAACATAAGTTAGATAATATAATTATTCCTAGAAATAAACAACTATTTCAAATCAGTGTTATCACTAAGGTATAATCACGTTAAACAAACAGTGTTCACAGTTTAAACGCAGACAAGGAAACTAAGATGAATCTGCCTTAAAAAACAGAATCACCAGGCCTCCAACAGATATTGAATTAACACCCAGGAGGTAGGTAATAATAGTTATTATTACGTATAAACAATTTAGACACGAATCATTTTATATCCCTAAAGTATAATAGCAAGTTAAACTTTAAACAAAAGCCGATTTCGGTGTACCAAAACTTATCTGAAATATAGACGTCAACGTCCTTGAGGGGGCGGGCTAAGTCGTAACCATAGCGACAAGCTGAACCAATCAGGAAGCTAGCCTTCTCAAACGGGGATAAAAGGCCGGAAATGACGCACGCCCACCGAGCATTTTCCGGGAGGCGCACACGAGGCGGTTCGTTCTTAATGCTCCATTTATATGCATATATCTTATGAATGTAATTGTTTGTCTCTGAATATCTGTAACCCATGTTGTGTCAAATAAATCTTTTATACGAAGGGCGACGCCTCCGCCGTTTTGAACACGACGTGGTATTCTAACCACAACACGATACATGGATGTAAACGCGTGCACGAGACGAGTCGCTGTGCAAATTTAACAAGATAAACGCCTAAAAACAATTGTTTGTTTGCTTGAAATTATAGTAAACGTGTGTCTCAGTCTAATGTTTTTTTTTAATAAATGCACTTTAATGGTCAAATCAGATGAATTTCAAAAATAGCTTTGCTGCCTCGGTGCTCCGGGAGCGCACAGAGGGAGGAAAAAAGGAGGAGGAACGCGGCTCGTTTCTTTGAAATTTTACCAGAAAACCACCTAAACAATTATTTGTTTGCTTGAAATTATAGCAAAGGTGTGTCTCAGTCTAACATTTGCTTAATAAATGCACTTTAATGGTCAAATTAGCTGCATTTTGTCAGGGCGCTGCAGCTGGTTTGACGGTTAGTCCAAGCAGCGCACAGAATGAAGGTGGGAGACAATGGCAAGCCGATTGTATCATTAATAGCTGGTGAAGATTCTCAGTCATCCAGGACATGGTAAATTCAAAAAAGTTAAGGAAAAAAAACTATAAAGTATAAATTCAAAAAGCGTTCAATACAACAACAACTGGACTTTATTTGTAACAGAAGACGTTTCGCTCCTCATCCGAGGAGCTTTCTCAGTTCAAAGAGCAG